AGTAATAAATATATTTTAGACTCTAAACAGCAATGAATGAAGTTCATACAATCATACTGCAATGTACATTTAAAAAAGAATCACCCTGTACCAAGTACATACATTATCTAGGGTAAAAGACATAAATCAATTGATTTCAAGTATGACACACTGTGTTAAAAATTTTTAAATAATATCTAATTTAATACTTTAATTTTAATTTGACTTTTTTTTCCGTGGTTTATTTTTCCCATGGCTTTTTATTCTGTGGATTATTTTTCCCGTGGCTATTTTTTCCCTGGATTTTTTTTCCGTGGCTTTTTTTTCTTACATTCGTGTGGCATTGTCTTAAGTTAACTAAAAAATGAAATACCTGGTACATCAAGCAGTTCTGTGATGGTTAACACAAATTTTTTCGCATTCTCGGGTAGATTATCAAATTTTCTAATGCCACTAATATCAGTTTTCCAACCAGGCAACGTTAAATATTTAACCTAAATAAATAAATTCAAAAACATATTTAGTACAATACTTAATGTAATAATAGTGGCTAAATATTATTATGAAACTATACTTCAACAGATGAAAGTTCAAATAAACTGGATGGATAATAATCGAGTGCTTTTCCATTTAACTGATATTCCACTCCAATTTTTACTTCATCAAAAGTATTTAATATATCAAGTTTGGTCAGACAAATTCTAAAAATGTAATATAATTATGAATTATTAAATGTCAAATAGATGAACATTGTCAATATAAATTTTATTCAAATAGTTAAGACATTTTTAACAGATTTCAAGTACAATTATTGAACTATTATAAAATTAATTACATAATTTGTATTATTATAGGATGTTTAAAAATACAATGGTTAATGAATTGGGGGTACTTATCTATTTGTTATCTTGACTACCTTCGGTGCACAATCAGGCTATCTAGACTACCAAAATATTTCCAAGACTAACTATTAACATCAACCGTATTATTTTGACTACCATAATTTAGTTAAGATAAAGTTATATTTAATTAAGTTTAATTAAAATGTCAAGCAAAATTAAAATTAAATCTAGGTAATTCTATCTGGTAAAAATAAAATGAGTACAATTTCAAATTAAAGAATAATATGTTATAATGATAGAACAGGTAGTCTTGGAAATATTTTTGCAGTCGAGATAACACATAAGTACCAAATTGGCATATTTTATACATAGAACAATTCTTACTTAGTATATCCATTGACCATTGAAGTATATTTTAAAAGTGGGATATCCAACCATCCACATCGACGCTTTCGCTTGGTTGTAACACCAATCTCATTTCCAATTGTCTGTAGTTTTTCACCAACATCCTAAATTAATTAAAAAATGTTCAACTAATTATTTTTGATCTTCAAACTCAAATTAATGTCATTGTTAGAGTTATATTAAATAGTTAATACAGATTTTAGATAACAATAAAATTAAATAAAATTAGAACATTAAAATTTTTAATATTTTGTACATAACAAATATTTACATCAAATAACTCTGTTGGAAATGGCCCATCACCAACTCTTGTAGTATATGCTTTGACAACTCCAATAACATCGCCAATTCTAGATGGAGGCAAACCAAGACCAGTACAAACACCACCAATACTACAATTTGACGATGTTACATATGGATATGTACCTGTTTAGTTTTTAAAACCATATAATTACTTTATTCATTAGGAATCAATATTGTCTTAAAAATTAATAATGTTATTACCAAAATCAATATCTAACATTGCTGCATTGGCACCTTCCACCAAAATTCGTTTTCCTTCTCTTAATGCAGAATGCAAATATCCAACAGTTTCTACTACTAATGGTCTTAATTCATTAGCATAATATTCATATTTCTTTAATTCTTCTTCTGGATCAACTTCTAGTAATGGAAACATCCTTTTATGTATATCGACTAAGTTGTAAAACCTTTAAATATAAATAAATCAAAAATATAATAATAATTTTCAAAAAAATTTTAATTTATAATAGATGCTTAGGTCACATTAAAATATTATACACATGGTTTTATACTTATAAGCCAAGAAGGATTTGTAGATATAATTATTATGATACACGAAGATATTCAAATTATTATCATTGATATTAAAATAATTTTGGTAAACATAACTTAAGTATTTATGTAGGTACATGGTACATTTAATATAATAAAATATATAGGTGAGTGTATAAAAAATAAAACCATAAAAATTTAATTAGAAGAATAAAATATAAAACATTTTAAATAAAATGTATACTAACAGTTCAAAAATGTCTATTGATTTATTTTATAAATACTCCATATATACTTCAGAGTTAACTATTACAAAACCTTGTAAATTTAATACTTTTTATTTGTTTATAACTAATTAGAAACACAACTAACTTTTCTTTAAACATGTTGAAATCTCCGAGTAAATCCGCCAATCTTAGACCATTTCTAGTTGCCTTAGAAGCATAAGTTGGCCCAATCCCTTTTTTAGTTGTTCCTAATGACTTTTTACCCTTTTCCATTTCTTGAAGACCATCCACTTGCTATATTTAAAAATATGTATAAATTAATACATTTATAATACCAAAATTAAAAGGATTTGATACCATTATTTTCTATCTTTGTTTAATACATGTGCAGCATAAGATTTTAGACGTGTTCTTTGCTTACGTACCTCTCAATTGATCAAATATAGTGATAACAATTCTAAAACAGATTTGAATTTGTCGTTAAGACTACTTGAGATTGACTTTTCCACATTTTTGATATTGTCTACCAAATTCCTAAAAGTGTTATGTTAAAAAGTAGTAATTAAAAATTTTTGTTTTTAAACTTTTGGATAAGTTAAAATCAAAACATAAAAAATGTAAGAAAGATGATTTCAAGTAGACTTGATAAAAAATTGAAAATTTTTTTTAGAATTCTAATCGCTTCACTATATCCATCAGTAAATTTGGCAAAGAAAACAGCTAAAATCCTATGACGCATATATATTAGACAAAGACAGAAAATCACAATATAAAATTCCCCTAATGCTTTATAAAATTACTCTTTTAGGTACTTCTTTTTATAAACGAAAAATTAATCATGAGTATTGTCGAGTCAAATATATGTTAAATACTTAAATAAATTTCATTATTACCCATGTATATTAGCTAGGTAGTAATTTATTATAACATTATTTTATCAATGCTTAAAACTAAAGACATAGCAATAAACAAGGCTCATGAGTTCATATATTTTCATATCAGTCTTTTGCTAAGTCATATTTAATATTAGGTGACATAGAAATTCATTTCAAGGTACCGTAGTTAAATATGTGAAGTTTTATTTTGTATATATTTGCATATTTAGAGGTTTTTTTTTACTATTTGGCATATTTATGCGTTTTTCTATTTTATTGTGCATATTTAGCACCAATATATGATTAAAATATTAAAATACAATGATTTATATTTTTGCCTGCATAAAATATATGAAAATTTTAGCAACGTAGAATCATTATTAAAAATAAAACATACATATACTCTATTCAAAATAAGAAACACAGTCGGCGACTGACTTCTGCAGTCGAGCTTGGTTTCACTACATCACAGCTATAGATATGAATATAGTATTTATAACCATGCACTAAACATACAGACCATGGACAATGGATGTGACCTGAACAAAAACTTTGTTTCTTATTTTTGAATTGAGTATAGTGCATAGTGTATATGAACGTATACATAACCCGCATTAAGCAATTAGTGGAAAACATATTATGTGAAATATATATTTTACGTATTAGATTATTAATGAATATTTTTTAAATTAGTTTTTTGAATTAAATTAATTAAAAATATAAAATATAACTTTTACAAATATGAATGAACATTTTTTATAGTTTTAGATTGTTAGTGCATATTGTAGATGTGCATTTCTGAACTTTTAAAGGCATATTTCAACATATATTTTGCCAGTTTTAAGTGCAAAAGTGCATACTTATTTTAGCATGAACTCGCGAGCCCTGGTAATAAACGACTTCATTGTTTCCATGGCTGAAGCATTGATATCTAGGTACAACTATATGCAATGTAATACAATAATAGTATAAATATAACTAGGATAAATATTTTATAAAACAAAATTAAAATATTAAACATTGATTAATCAAGCAGATTAGTACAAAAACTACCCATCAATAATGGTTATAAATTATAACTCAAAATATGCATCTACTATTTAAATTTCAATCACTGTGTATGAATAAAAATGACTATTTATTCTATTTTGTATGTTCTCAAATCTTTATTAATTATAAAAAGGAACACTAGTTTAAATTACAGTTACTGTATTCACAAATATAATGGAAATATTACCTGATGGAAATCAAACACAAGATGAGCACGATCAGATATTAACAATCGTTTTTTCCAGTCCAATAGCCCTTTCTTTTCATTTTTACTGCACTCATCGAATAACCCAGGTAGATGAATAACGACTCCATTACCTGTTATATTTTTAACACAGGAACTACTAATTTTATATTAAAATTATACAAATTTTAAGCATAGTGTAGCAAGGCTCTAACAATCTCAAATTTTTAAAATTTTATAGAAACCTACCAAGGGATTTAACCATAATAATCAATATGTAGTATTATGTAAGTACCTATCTAAATAATTTTAAACTACATATACCAAGATTATTATAATCTAAATTTAGAAATGTTGATACTATTTAGTATTATAATACTAACATGATTTCTCAATAATTCAATGAACACTATAAAAATTGCAAATCTTTTATTTATAATTTTATTCAGCATTTTTAATATCAAAAGTTTTACACTAATTGTACCTACCTCAGAATGAATTAATAAACGAATGTCATAAAATTGGAAAATGTTGTATGTTTGTCAAGTAGACAAACAGCAAAAACTAAAAAATATTGATTTTCAGCTTAAACTAATTATTAATTAATCAAGCTTTTCTTAGAAAAGTAAAGAAAATGTAATGATTTATCATTTTTTTGCGGTACCTACTTATTTTGTATTTTTTTTTGTTGCTAGATAAATGGATTAAAATAATGATTTGCAGAGAATGTGTTAACAATTTTTTGGTGCTAATATTGCTCCAGAAATGTAAAATGTTTATTATATTTAAATTTTTAGACATAAGTTTAATATAATTACCTATTGGTGTATTAAAATTCTGAAGTATATATCAAACTTACAAATAAAATTTAGAAAATAATTATATCTTACCAATAACAGATTTGCAATTGGGATTTATGATTCCACTTGGCAGTAAGTGAAAATCAAATTCCTTATTATCCACAACAACAGTGTGGCCTGCATTATTTCCTCCCTAAAATTAAAACTTAACATTTAATAACAGATTAACTGCAGTTAGGTATGTTTAACAATCTAAGTGATACTGTTATAAAAATACTCGATTCATTTATTTTGAATTATAATAATAAACCAATAACCAACTCTGACGAGAATTGGATATACAGTAGAAACTCGATTATCCAAACCTAGGTTATATGAACCCTCTATTATCCAAACTATAATTAGCGTATCCGAGCGGTTTATCAAATTTATCATAACACTCATAACTCTCGCTTTTGGCTTATTATTAGGGGCAAGTCCATTTTCAACCAAAACCACACCCTTCCCTTTTCGACAAAATTTAAAATAGGTCGATTCCCTTTTCGACCAAAACAAAAAATTATATAATACATTTAAAATAATAAAATAATGATAAACAATGTTATTAATAATTATTAAGTATAATATTAATATAAAAATAATGTTAATATATAGATATTTTTACATTTTAAATAATTTTCTATATCTAACTTCATAACATTTTATGCATCATATAATAACTTTAATTGAATGACAAAGCAATGGAAATGTTGTTTGATGTTTTCTAATAATGTAATGTATTTCTGATAAATGATAATCTAATGTATGTAATTCTAATAAAATATTAATAATAATAATAAATATTTAATTATAAAAATAGTTAAACATTTTTTAAATTTTATATTTCCAATATATACCGAACTAGGTGCGGTCCCAATTAGTTCGGGTAATCAAGGTTCTACTGTATTGAACTTTAATGACAAATTTACAAAAATTGAAGTTTATTAAAATAGCATGGCTATGAAACAGAAAAAAAACCAGAGGGAAAATTTTGCAACCTGTGGAAAAGATGAAGAAAATTGTAATGGTGGTTGGTTAAAAGTGTAATTAATTGTTAGTAAATTCTGTTACAGAACACTTCTTAATAGTATATGTGTTACAGGTAATAAAACGTATTACCACTATACAGTAAGACAAGTTTGCCAAGATTCTTGCACAAAATAAAATATAATTTTTCAACGAAGGCTACAGAAAAAAAAAAAATTATAAAAATAATACCTATAGGTTGGTGGCACGCAATGCCATGAGAAATATAAAATGAAAAAGAGGCCAAAAGCATCGGATGGAAAAAATTTCGAAATTTTTTGGCACTGCACGGTGGATTTTTTTTTAAATGTAGGTGTTTTTTGATGTGTGTGATGTATCTCAATCCTGCATGCGAATTCAAAGATGAGCACTCAGTGTTGACCTAATGGCCATGAAGGTAAAATTAAAAAAAAAAAAAAAAGATAAAAAATGTAGATAATAATAAAAATATACAGCCGTCTGCAGCGCATCAGCAACCTTGAAAATATTTATTATGATTATTGTTGCTGTTGAGATCGCGGTGAGACGGCTGTCAAAAAAAATTAAATACATCACGGACATTGAATTGGTCATAATACAGTATTAGTAAGGTGCATGGCTTCTTCTCACCTGACACCTGCACACGAGGTCCGCGTCGGCGGCCAACATGTCGACCACCTTGCCCTTGCCTTCATCGCCCCATTGGGCGCCTAGAACGACGGTCACCTTGTTGACGTCTGAACCGTTGACAGCCATGATGGTCGTAGCAAAAGAAAAAAACACGACAAAACGAAATTATATTGGTATTATACCAAAATAGAGTAATTATTCACCGATCGGCCGGTCAACAGACGCGGGTTGGTGACCGACACGAGGCGAGTCGGACGGTTGTCGGTTGAATGATTAAAATATTATTTGTGTTAGACGCGTTGCGACCGGCCGGCTGTCATAATACACGAGGAGGGACGTCTCCGTCGACGGCGGCAGAGGTGGCGGGAAAGCGTCCGACCAGTGTCTGGCAAAGTGGCAAACGAGAAACGACTAAGCAGTAAGCGGTAGGCACCAAACGGGAAGCAGAACGACGTCGCCCGACTCGTCCGCGCGCGCAAATCGTTGTCGTTGGCGGCAGCAGCTGTTGTCGGTGCTAGAACGGAAGCGGTGTGGTGGCGGCAGGGCGCGGGCACCGGAATACAGTGTGGTTATGGTCGTCGACGTCGTCTTTGCGTGCGAGATATTATTATCGGTGACGCACGAGTGAAGACGACCAACGACGAGCAAATAGTCGGTATCGCCGTTTTTATCATTGTTGTTATTATTATTATTATTATCACCGTGCACGGGCCCACCCGGCACCCGCCCATTCACAATACACTAACACGCGCGTAACAAATGCCAAATACGTCAGAGCCCAGAGAGGCAGAGACCTAGACACCTACCGTACGCATATTATCATAATCGTAACATTCGTAATAAACTAACAACGATGCACGCTTGACAATTTATATTGTTCATAGGTATTCATAACAATATTGTTCACATTATTATTGTACGGCCGCATCCTAATTCTATTTAAAATTGAAGCATTCAAAATATTGATATCGGCATGACATAATTTAACAATCAATTATAATATAATTTCGTCGACGAGATTTGCATGATATTTTTCGTAGGTCAATGGTCATACGAATAAATAATGCATAACATAATATCGTATTATTCTATGCGTCGSGTCTTCACGATATTATTATGGTGATCAAGAAGCCGCCGCATGCATGTCTATTCAYTATTTTGTGAATTGCTGTAGATTATACCTTTATACCTACTCGCATACATGAACTATGGGAACGTTTCTATTTTTCATCCGGAAAACTACCAAAAATCCAATATTKTAATAATATTTTSATTTACCGACGAAWATGTATTTATATGAATCATAATGATATAGTGACCATTCGGGATTTATAGGTACCTATAGCATTTGAAATTTTGAACTGAGCGACAAACCGAATTCAATTCACCCTTCACCCGTTGTGGGTGGTCTACGGAGTGCGAAACATTAGGTATATGTGGAATTTGGAAAGAGGGACAGCGGGACAGCCGTTTGCCCGTTTTTAATAATGTACACTTGGTCAGCGTCGCGCCGTCGCCACCGACGAAGCCACCGCCCCCGCAAACAAAAATCGTACGCCGCCTCCGACCCTGTTCGCAGTGTTACCGCATGTCGTTTCGTGTTTTTGTGCTTTGCATTTGCAATGCATAGTACCATAGGCATCTGAGTCAGTTGATCTGACCTATTATCAGAACCATCGCAAAGTTTTTCTGGGTCAGGGGAAAATTAATGGGGAGAGGGGTCAGGGACTATACCATTGTAACTCGATATGAACAAAAAATTGCCTACGATATTTGCAAAACCAACCAAGGTCATTAAAATGCATGGTAGGTATCAGTGCTAATATTTTATTGAAGTCTTCAGTAGGCACCAGCCACCAAATATAATATGTTAAAAAAAACCCTGGTAAGATCACGACAAATAACTATATTGGTCGTACGGAAATAAAGTAGGTATCTATTAAACTACAGTATAAACATTAAGCTGCAATGAAAAAGCAATAACGAAAATATTGAACATATCTATTCAATAATGTGATGGGTGGGGTAATTGGTATCTAATTAATAACTATATTATTTTTTCTAACCTAGTCTAAATCAACTATTAGCCCATTTTACATCGATATTTTTRCAATAACATTAAGCGTGGGTAACAATATAATATAGGTGCCTACCTATTATTGCAATTTAATTAAGAAACCAAAAACGTAGCGTGATGTTTATAATAAATATTATATAATGCAAAATTTATTGCAAACGATAAAATAAAATAAATTGTATTATTGAAATTATTGAAATTATTGAAATTATTGAAATTATTGAAATTTCTGAAATTAGTGCACTATGTAGGCACTGTAGGGGTTGTGATGGATATATCCCATGCCCCACCTCTGCAGTAGCATACATCATTTTTTTTTCTCCGTAGCAAACTGCTAAGTTTCATTATAATATATAGGTGCCTATTTTWTATGAAATATAATCATATTATAATAGTTTGATACCCACAGAGGTTGAAACTTGAATAATAATTTTATTTATTTATTCAAGTTTAAACATTAAAAGRTTATAGGTACAAGTATATAGGCATTAGGCATAGACACTGTCATTCAGAATATATACAAATAGGTTTAATATTTCAAAGAAATTAAATTTATTCTGTGCATGAATTAAGATAATATCTTAATTCGTGATCCTGTGGTATAGGTCTACATAGTAAAATTACGCTATTTAGGTGCATAATCGTATGTAATGTACCTATATATATACCTATTACGTGGTTGTGTTATGGACTAATGGTTTTAGATATTTTTGTTATGTAGTATAATATATTTTTATTTTTTTCAACTTTGATGGTAGTTTCTGATAGCAAGTTGGATTTATTATTAATAGTTGAGGTCAAAAAATTACTATTCAAAAAAATTTGGTAAAACCAAATAAAATTACAAAAAACAAAAAGATTTGTTCACCAGTGTTTGAAAAATCGATTTTGTATATTATTGATTATGTAAATCAAAAATGAATACAGTATTTAAAATGTTAAGACCTAACACTTAAAATATTGTACAAAAAATAGCTGGAATTTAAAAAAAAAAGTGTAAAGTGTAAAAACCTATACATAATCAACGTTAGTTTTCATGAGTATACTTATATAGGTACTTATAGGAATTTTAAGTTTAAAATTGTTAAAATATCATCTCATAGAAGTTCAAATTGRATGTTCAAACTTATTCAAACATATCAAAGTAATGGTTTCTATTCAACCGAACTTAAATATTTTAATATAAATAAAATAGTATTCATTGGAGAAAGAGAAACTTGAAAAATGTCGCATGAAGTGTAACTCGAGAGTCGAGATTCGACTGTACCCTAGCTATATTTCATAAAGATTTTGTAAGTTTTTAATTTAATTTCAATTTATCTCTATAAATATACCTATATATTAATCAATATTAATATATTATGAATCACTATTTTATTAATATACGTTAGGTACATAGTCTAAGTATCTCTGTATATACTATACGTAATTTATAAATGAACAYATATTTATTAATATACATTACATAACATAAGTATCTCTGTATACTATACGTAATTTATAAATGAACACTTATTTATTAATATAGCATGAATTTTCTCAATWATTAAATATCAAGTAGGTACCTATCTATAGGTATAAGGTATACAAATAGCTGTAACTGTTTTACATAATAGATTTTATTATTTATCATATTAAATAATTTTGATCAACATATCATTAATTATTTACTTATGCATTTAATTTGTAAATTAGTTAAAAATCCATCGATAAATTACGATGCCTATATTAAATTTAGCTTATAATACTCGTATATAAAGATAATAGTTTCGAAGGACCAATAGAAATCGTACAAATTATATTACAAATAATAATGTCAAGAAGAAAAATCGTAATTCTGAGATTGATGGGTGGTTATATTGTTTACTTGTCACCTAGGAAATAAAGATAAACTATACCTATAGGCTAAGGTCAAAAGTTCTCAAACTGTGCGTCGCGCCCAGCAGTGTCTTTACTGGGGTGCTGCGCTTGCCGTATTTGTATATATTCGTATTTATATGTATATTCCATCCATCCCATTAATTTAATATGTACAAATAAATATATACATATATCTTAATACAACTCATCGTGTGTTATGACTTATGAATAATTATAATAAAATAAATATTTTCATAATATCTATGAGGTACACATTTTTCTGGTTTTATTTTTTATTTTTTGGGAGGGGCACCGTGTAAACCCCTTATTTCAAAAAAGATCGTCGTGAGCCAAAAAAGTTTGGGAACCGCTGACCTAGGTATTTACTTAAGTGGTCTGCTCTTTTATCTTAAATATACAGGTCCATAATTAGGCAATGTGAAATTTYACTGCCACCATTCATTACATTTATGTTTGTGTAAGTCGTCAATGATGTTTAATTGATGTGAGTGTGATTGTACGTGGGCAGTAGAAAATTGTCATTAAACAAATCATTTCAGATAAAATTWGTTAAAAATTTATTTTCAATCTATCTCCACAAAAAAAATGTTTGATACGCCAATCTATGATGCGGATACCTGTCGTCACGTCATAACTCCTGTTTATTGGTGAAGGAAATAAGGATACAAGTTAATTTGACAGTACTGCGAGAATTATTGAAAAATGCGTATTTATATTTTCCAAACCACTTACATAAATATGTAATATTCTCGGTTAGAATAGACATTAATTAAATATAAAAAAAAAAAAATGTATTTAACTCTCACATATCTGTATTATTATTATTATCAGATTCACACGCACGTCGATTAGTTGATTTATATAAACCCATTAGMCTTCGGCGAAAAATATTTAACGTTATAATTATTGAGTATGTATAATATGGTCAAAATTCTTATTGGTCATCACATTAATCGCTGGATCATCTATTAAAAGCTATTTAGAGCTAATAACCATTTATAGTATGTCTCTAACCTTACACAAATTTCAAATTCTTCCAATCTTTCACCGTTTAACGCTGTAATTGTAGTATAATCGCGTGTGTGTGT